TTTTGAATTTTTTTAATATCCTTGAGTGGGACACCCAACTTGAGGTAACTCGGGCTCGCCAGGATGTTGAGCCCAAGTACTGCCTGACTATTGGGCATTTGGATCAAGTAATCAAACATTGTTAGGAGAATATATTTTAGTTTAACGTTTTAAGAATTCAAAACAAAAAATTAGACAATATTGATGAAGTTTTGGCATTTCAAGCTGAGTCTAAGGCCGGATATCACACATTTGGGTTGTGCCCGGGCCCAAACTTATTTTTAGGGCCCATGTTGAGCCCAAACTTGGCCCATTAATAACACTCATCTAATCTCAAAATTTTACTTTCCATTTGAATTATGAGAGAAGCAATTTCCTAGTTTCCAACAAGTTCTCAAATACCCTTAATTTTATTCATATATTCCCGAAAATCTTTATATCGCCATCTATCTATTTTCTAAAATCTTTAAGTCAGTTTCTATTTATCCATTTTCTAATAAAATCTCTAAATCATTAAGTAATGGCAAATTTGAAAGTTTTACAAAATACATCGTATTTGGCAAGTTAGTGTCGTGAAACTTGATTTGTATATTTTGTCATTTAGTAAAAATTTTAATTTTACCCTTATAAAAAAATAAAAATACATTTTGTAATAATTTTTACACAAACGCTTTATTTGATAAGTAAGATATCACAAAAAATAACTTTTTAAAAAAGAAAAAACATAGGTAAACAATCCAATTAAGGCGTACTTCCAAATTTTATCATAACATATAATTTGGATGTAAAAATTACTTAAGATTATCTCAAAATCTATTTTCATATCTAATTATAAAATTCTAGACTAAAAAATGGTTAAAATCGAGTAGATCTATAAACATATGAAAATTTAAAAAATGGACGATCTAGATAATATGTTGCAAGATGCACTTTTTTTAGGATTCAAAATTTTTTTTTTTTGTATTCATACATCTCGATATTGAGATCAATTAGAATGTTTTTCAACAATAAACAACCTTTTTCAATGGATACCCCTTTAATTCTACATTTTAAGGTTACCTTATATAAACCTTTTCCACATAAACAACCTTTGTTTTATAAAAGTCCTTTGTTTTGTAAAAAATTTCAGAAGTGTCCCAATCATGACATTTTCAGTCTGAATCGTGACATCAACCTGTAGCTAATCTTTTGAATCCCGTTTCATAGCCGGATCTAAAACGGTCCAACCAATACTCGATTAGAATCGCTTGTTTCCAAATCGAGTCACCAATTTTTAAGACACTCGTATTTAGTTCATTTTAAATTTTGTGGGGCTACAATTTTGTTTTCCATTACAGATGTTACGTGCGTGACGAGATGCGAATGTAAAAGTACGATCTGTGAAACACTATTTTTTCATACACAAGTTGTGTGGTGTACAAGACAGAACGGCACCTTAATTGTTGAATAAAGGACGGTGAACCATGAGCCACTTGTTACAAGGGCATATTGACGCTGCGGTCGCACATGTAAATACTACTATCGGTAGGCATGTAATGTGGCATTTGAGAAAGGTTCAAATTTGGGGAAACGTTCTTTATACATCCCCCAGGGCATAAATCTAAGTCGCGGTCCCTTTGAAAAAGAGAAAGATCAACGGTCTACAAATTTTGTTCAATTTTTATTTTATTTTTAAAAATTGAGAAATGATCTTATAAGGCCCTCTCCCACCTATATGTGTAGAACCCCAAAAGATCAACATTAAATTCGGTACGGGTCTATAGAAAAGTCAAATCCTACATCCATGTGATAGTTTTTCTAGAGATCCGTACCAACTTTAATAGTGATCCTTTGATGTCCTATATACATGGGTAGAAGAGGGTCTTATAGGATCATTGCTCTTTAAATTTTTTTTTTTAATATATTTATGATCATATATACATAAAAATTTGGGTGCAGTTAAAGTAAAGCGCATATTCAAAATGTGTCGAGAAATGTGATTTCAATACTAGAAATCTTTGTAATAGCTTTAAAATATAACTTTATATTTAATTATAAATTTTAAAGCTTAAAAAATAGTGTAGATCAAGAAGATATATGAAAACTTAAAAATCTTGAAAATTGAAGGTCTAAAAGTAAGATAAAAGATGCACTATTTCCAAAACTTGAAATCCTTTTTTTCTTTTCTCGTGACCATGCTTCTTGATGTCGAGATAATCAATTTGAGGATATTTGTGCATCAAACCAACATCTTCTAATGAAAATGTTGAGGTGGGCTCTAATTTGATTATTTAGAGCCTTGGCTTTATATAAACTTTTTTCATGCATAAAAAATTTAGTTATAAATTCTATCTCAAAAATGATTTTGGAGGAGGGAACTCGTATACACATATGAGAGAATTCCTCATGATCGTCGTAATGAGAAAGCAAGTTGCTTTATGGTGGTACTTAAGCCACTTGGAGATCCATCACTGGGAAAACGAGCCGGAATCTAACGATAGAGGCAAATCCGAATAGAGGTTGAATTAGAGAGCCGTATGATGGGCGACTATCTCGTACAGTTCGGAGAGGGCTCGAATACCAACGGATTCAATATGTTTCTGAGAAAGTTCCACTCTATTTAATTGCAAGCAAGGTCTGAGGTAGTCAATGGCCTTATCTTTCCTTCCAAGAGTCATCGTCTTTTGCCATAATGTCCCAAAATAAGGAAATGTCGTCGGTGGTGAACACGAAAAGCAGGAGTGGCCCACCAGTAATAGGAGGCGACAAGACGGGAGCAGACATAAGAAAGATCAGATCAAGGGCGTAGCAAAAATCTATTTTCTTTCGGCCTTTTATAACGTTTCTGCAATCTTTTATGAGACGAGTAAAATAGCCCGGGTTCGCTTCCGAGTTTATTCGATCCTCCTTTCCTCGAAAAACCAAATCCGTGTCAAAAATTGATCCAAAGTTACTTCTTGTTGTTCTTTCTATGACTGCCCAATTTTATCATTTTTGGGGAAGGAACTCGTATACACATATGAGTCTTAGGACTCCCCAATTTTATAAAAAATGTGTATCCAATTCATGCTTGACATGGTGGCATCCACTTCAAAGGGCATATTTATCATGGGGTGTGATTTATGTAAGGCTGAGAACCTAAATAATCAAAGTAAAGCACACTTTCAAATAACATAAAAAGATGTATCAGGATTAGAAATATTTATGATAGCTAGAGAGTTTATTTTTATTTTTTATTATAAAATCTAAAGTTTAAAAAATAGTATAGAAGGAACATATATATGAACACAAAATCTTGAAAATTGACTCAGATGCACTCCTTTTCTTTTGTAAATTTTTCACGTGCGCCTTAATTTAATTGTTTACAGCCTCGCGATTGTATAAACATCTTCCCTCTCCATTTCCCTATTGGTGTAGCGGAACACTCTGGTATTTTTAAAAATGTTGGGGTTATAATCAAATTACTGGAAAGAATCTTTGCGTACGCGTCTACCTGCCACGAATCTTTATGACGTAACTGAAATGACGTCACTGATTTTGTCAAAAAGCATATGCTTACGTAACTAAAAACAAAAATTACGTCAAAGACGGAAGAATGGGACACCGAAATTTAGTAAGGGAAGAAAAAGCCATAATTTGATGGAACCCATGAGCCCCAACACCCTATAACAATAAAGTTATTTTCCGGCATATAATAATGCCATACAAGACGGCAATCCCATCCGTCCTCGCAAGAAATATCATACAGTAAATTTGGGGATGGTCTAATTACCTTTGTTACAAGTTAGGGATGGTAATGGGTCGAGTTTGGCTG